GCAAAACTAAAATAACATGGTGCTTTCACATTTAATGGCATTATTCTGAGTGCTCTACAAGAAGATATATTTACCCTGACTCCCCTGCTTATTTCTTTCATCTCCTTATGCACAAACACACACACACACACAAAGTCTGTCCAAGGCTCTGTAAATTCAGGAGTCTGTCTGTTCTTTGAGAAGGATGCATGACTCTCTTATTTAGTAATTTCCGTCCCTGTTTATAGTATCTGCAGCTAAATTTCCCTGAAGTCATCCCAAGAAGCAGATCTCTTCTTGGGAGGCTGGGCAGCAACAGGCAGGAGTGTGGTGACCGTAAGTACTCCTGTCTCCATCAGAAATGTTGAGGGAAAGGTGAGGAAGATCTCCAAGCTGGGAGATGAAGGAACATGGAGAAGTCTCATCTATACTTAGCTGTTTGAGCTAGAAAAAGATATTTTACCCAAATTATTGGAGGCTGTGCTCTGACAGCTGTGAAGGGTTAGGTTATATGTCTCCAGGGAACAGTTAGATGTTTTTACGATTGTTATTCTGTTTCCTTTAGCAAGACACTGAGTATTCAGGGCTGGAGCCGCAGCGCAGGAATGATGGGGAAGAAGCCTTAGGGGTAGCAGATCTCAAGTCCTCATGAAATTTTGGGTCTTCTGCATTTGCATTCAGCGGGTTGTTTGTGTTTATAGGAAACACTGCACATACCAGCTATAGAGGGAAGAGAGGCTCTGGGAGCACAGGTCTGTCTGTCACAGTGTGTTTATTCCTGGATAAAACACTTAGTGCCCCAGAGCAGGGTGGTGTTTTCTGTTTGCATTGCGTTGCAGGCTGGTCATGACACCATTGACCCTTCCTGGCTGCCACCCCAGAAATCCCAGTATGAAAGCAGCTCTTGTGGCTGTCTTTAGCATTTTTTTTCCCTGTTTCCTGTTTCACCCCCCTGTCTCACCCCAAACAATTTTGATTTCCCCATCCAGGCATTCATTCTGCCACAGCCCGCAAGGGTTTGTTGACAATGGGTTAAAATGAACTTCATAAAACACATGGCGCCATGGTTATTTTTATAAAGTGAACATCAGCTGAGCAAGTTCTGGAGACGGTGCTGTGAGCCAGGGAACG